TAGAAAAAAAAACTTAAGATTTTCAAAGGAAAATCTCTGACAATCCAATGATTTTATAACAGCAAATACAAAACATGTAAGAGGAAAAAAAATCTTTATGATACCTTTTGAAGCATCAATTTCAATGTCCACTAATGGTTTTCCAACATAAGCAATTTCATCTAAATTGTAATGGAGTTTTCTAATGATGCCATCATAACGACTAGTAATAGTAACAGAAGCTTTATCACTTTGTACTTCACAGATGCTATCAAATTGAGACACACTATCACCTTCTTTTATATACCTAAGAAGAAAAAAGACACAAGCTGCTATAAAACATATTAAGTGTAAAAATCTATCCTGTGTATTCTTTTGATAAGTTCCATTATGTACATCCACGTTACGTGAAAATGTAGTATTCTAGAGAAGAAGCTAAACTGGATCCACTGGATCCATTTGCTGTACATTTTGCCACACTGCTCCAGAACTCTTTGTTGTGTAAAAAGTGGCAAAGATTAAGAATATTGTCACATTTGTATTTTTTTCTGTTGATTTAGTTAAAAAATAGCAGTTTTCTCAACTGATTATAAACCCTCTAAAAATAAGAATGAGCTTCACTTAGTTTCAAGTTAAGGAAAGCTTCAATTTGAAATTTACCTCTGTCTTTTTTACCTGTCTCCAGCACAAAGAGCATATTATCAACCATGCATACAAAGAACAAGGCATTCCAAAATTGTCCTCCCCCACCAGACACTTTGATTTTGTTTAATCCATTTATTAATGGCCTAAATGAAAAAGTACTGCAGGATAAAATTCTTTGGTTTCTCTGAGAAGTATATTTTTCCTTAAGTTCATCTCTACAAACATAAAAGTCAGGCCTCCTACCCTCTCAGAATTTAATCTGAGAGAAAGTCTACCTAAAGGTGCAGCTGGAAGTCCTATTCCCTCCATCTTTTCCACACTCAAACAAACCAGATCACAAATAAACAAAATGCAAAGCTCTGACTAAACAGGGCCTCAAAACGTGGAAATAAAATGTAGAAACTCCATTAGTAACCCAGAAAATGTATTCCCATGTAATCAGTAACACTGCTGCTAGCACTGCTTGCTGATTTCTTAGTATGTTTCTAAGAAAGTGGTGCTTACCATTCTTTCACAGTCACCTCAGTAATCCCTTCTCCAATGTCGGAAAGCTTAAACTGAACGATTTGGCCGCATGAAACTTAAAACAGAAAATAAGGGAGGAAAAATGTTAATATTAAATATATCACACAGACAATTTTGAATGCCTAAAAAATACATTATATACCAGTTACATAGACTGCTAATATAACACTCATGAAATAGTAATATAAAACAAATTATTTTAGTATGAAAATGATTACCAGAAGATGTTCTGAATAATCGCTGATGATGACTAAACTTCAGGGCAGATTTGTCAAACAGGCACACATATTTTGATTTTATAAACTGAATGCTGCTGCACGATCTAACATGGTGAACACAAACCTAGGGGAGAAAAGTCTCAAGTATTAAAATTTGGATTGAGGAAGGCAAAACTCATTTAATATTCTTGATACAACAGTAACTAACTAAATTCTTATTTATTTAGAGAATTTCTTACAAAAACTATTCAAAAAATGCGTATAGAAGACGTAATGATTATGAGACTAGCATAAGCCTTGCCATGTTCTTAAACAATTTTAATAACACATCGCAGGGCAGATCAAAGCCGCAATAACATACTGAATTAACAAAAATCATGACAAGATCTGGCAACAGATTCACAGGTTCCAGTTTCTTTATGCAATCAGTTTAATCAGAATATACATACAAAAGTCTATACCTCATTAACTCCATCAGCCATGTGAAATACTCTCATGCAGAATGAATGGTGGAAAGGTCCCTCAGATAGGGGGAGAAATTAGTATATTTTATTCTGATGGTTCTTATTTGAATCAAAGGTTGATCATAAATACTAATTAGGAAGGAATTTCGCGCTGGAGGGCACAGTTGCCATTTCATTTCTTTCAAAAGATAGCAGACAAACATCTTGAAGCATGTACCATTTTACAACAACTTTACTGACTTTGACAAGGATTGGGTGGGATGTGCGTTTCTTTCATGGTTACAATTATATTTATCCAGAAATCGTCTCCAAGGGTCAACAGAATTTTCTGAAAGGTTCTCCGTACAAAACTACGTGCTTTAACACATTGTGTAATCACAGCAGTCATGATTCTGGTCAAGAGCAAAGCCAGTGGCACTTGCATTGACATAAACAGCCATTTTATCATTAAACACATTAGAATTTAGTTCAGACCCTTTCTTGTTTAGTAAGATTCCTTTAAATTCTGGTGTTACATTATCCTAATGTGACATAAAATAAATAAATAAAAATCATCGGAAGGTACAATCTCTAATTAATTTAGAGATATGAAAAAAATCAGGTGCCACAATGTACCTCAAGTACTCAAAAACTGTAAAATCTACAAATTATCTTCTTAGAAGAGCCAGAAAACAGGACACCTGTGTGGGAAAGTTCATTTTAACGCTTTTTTTTTTTTTTGGAAATAATCCTTTCAAATAATTGCAAAACATATGAATCTTTATGAATTATCCTGCCCTCTCCCCAAAACTATGGAAAATTTCACATGTTTACATTGCACATTTAAATTGCAGATAATCCAGAAGACTGTACTATACTGAACTGAAAACATACATACTTCCTATATTATTTAACATGCAAATTACATTCAAATATTATTTTCTTTTGGGAACAAATAATTATACAATACTCTACCTCAAAGGACACTGCAAAGTCACATTGAGCTACTTTTCAACTGCCTCCTACTAAGATTGTATTTGTTGATCTAGAATAACTACTTTTCTCATTTCCATAATAAGCAAACAGCTATACCTTTCCCTTAGTCAAAAGAAAAAGGTCAAATGACAATCGTAAGCTATAATAAATGTTATTTAACCGATGCAATTAAAATTTTAATTAAATATAAAAGTGGCACAAAATCTATGCTTTCCAAAGGCAGATTTCTTCTATTTTAATTCTGTATTTCTATTTCACTCCACAGTTACACTCTTTTGTTCTACAAGATCTTTTTGTTCCAAAATCAAAATAGAACTCTTTTGTCTTTATATGCCCCTGCATGGAAATGATTCAATATTTACCTGTGAAGACGATTGCAAGCAGCATATCAAACCTCTGAACTACCTAAAAATGTGAATTAGTAACATACCTGGCAAATAAAGAGATTGGTTTTGTTGCAGGAATTCTTTCATTTTATATTTGCAGGAATCATTCTAAACTACTGCATTTTGTAAAACTGTATCTTTCTTTTTGGTCTGTAGGTGAGGTTAACCAGAGAGTTGGTGTGTTAGTATATTAAAGCAGTAATGCAAAACCCAGTCTCTCCATACAACTGTGTTCCTTTCAAAAAGCTGAAAAAGTGAAACTCATAAAGAGACAATTTCCTTATTCATTTCAGCATTTAATCATCATAACACTGTGTAAAGCCAGGTAAGAAAACAAGAGCTTGTAATAGGAAATCCTAAACTCAATATATAAATACATACCGTCATATATACATAACTCATATATATGTACATATGAGTGGTGGATATTCGTGTGACTGCTAAATAGCAGGAGGCAGCAGGACCCCAAGCAGCAGGGTACTGCTTGCGAGGGCTATGGCACCACTCTACTGCAGGGTGCTGCAGCCCTTCCTGCGCAAGGGGATGGGGTCTCCCCAGCCTCTCACTGATACCAAGGATGCATCATCCACTGACAACAAACCAAATTTCTTAAGGCTTAAGGTTTGAATGAAGCCTTGGAGCACACACTATTTGAGGGAAGAATAACCTTGATGCTGTCTGGTTCAATTTTGGCCATTTCCTTAAGAAACAGCCCCTTGTGTTTTTATAAAACTCCACGGATCCTGGAAATCTACTGCTGCCCTCAGAACAAAAATGTTATTGAGCCTGCAGGCAACCAACTGCGTGACAAAATAACACTCGATTTCAAAATCAAATTGAATGAATTGTGTTCAAAGGTAGTGGCTTTACATTAAAGGACACTCCTCAGCGAGACTCATTTCACCTGCTCCCCTATTTAGTCATTTTAATCAACATTTATTAATACATTTTGCATACCCACTTTGTGTCTCCACATACTGCTTTATGGAGGTTTCAGTACACTAGATTTAGTTTTATCACCGAATCCAACGTCCTTGCTAGCATATTTCAATCAGCCTTAAAAACTGGCTCCACGACCTCATCTGTGCACGACTCCCGTTTCCTTGGCAGCTCATGCGGGAACCCCAGGCTCCTCTCTTGCTCTTCCTAAACTATAGCCACATCCTATCTATGATGCCACCGCTAGGTCCTGCCCTTGACCACTCAAGGTTTGCAGGGGAACCAAGTGCATTAAAATGTGACACTTCAAAGTGACAACAGCAACTTTATTTCTTGCATTTTGACACCACTTTACCACGAGGATCAGAGGAACAAGCCGCTTCTCGAGACATTTAAAAGGCAGCTGCAGCCCATGCCCGCTATATAAAGGCTAAATCATAGCGCCGGCGCCTGCTCCGGAGCCGCCGAGGCCTTTTCCCTCACAGCAAACGCGTAGAAACGGGCAAATGCCCCGGCGGG